TGATCTACATGCCTGTTCCTGTACCAATAGCTGTTTTGATGATTGTAGCTTATAGTAAAGTTTGAAATCTGGTATTGTGATACCACCTGCTTTGTTTTTTTGGCTGAGGATTGTTCTGGCTATTCTTGGACGTTTGTGTTTCCATATGAATTCCTGTGTTGTTTTTTCTAGGTCTGAGAAGAATGTTGTTGGTAATTTAATGGGTATTGCATTGAATTTGTAGATTGCCTTAGGTAAGATGAACATCTTCACAATGTTGATTCTTCTGATCCATGAGCATGGGATATTTTTCCACTTGTTCATGTCAGCTTTGATTTCTTTGAGCAGTGTTTTGTAATTTTCATTGTAAAGGTCTTTCACGTCTCTGGTTAGGAAGATGCCAAGGTATTTCATTTTTTTTGTGGCTATTGTGAATGGAACTATGTTTTTTATTTGGGTTTCTGTTTGTTTATTATTGGTGTAGAGAAATGCGATTGTCTTTTGTACATTTATTATGTATCCTGAGATTTTGCCAAAGGCTTTTATCAATGTAAGGAGGCCTTTGACAGATTCTCTTGGGTTTTCAAGGTACACCATCATATCATCTGCATAGAGAGATAACTTGACTTCCTCTTTTCCTATTTGAATACCTCTGATTGCCTCCTCTTCTCTGATTGCTTTAGCCAGGACTTCCAATACTATGTAGAACAGGAGGGGAGAGAGTGGGCATCCTTGTCTAGTTCCAGTTTTCAGGGGAATTGGTTCCAATTTTTGCCCATTTAGGAGTATGCTGGCTGTGGGTTTCTCATAGATGGCTTTTACTATTTTGAGGTATGTTCCCCGTATGCCTAGATGTTCAAGGGTTTTTATCAAGAAGGGGTGCTGGATTTTATCAAAAGCTTTTTCTGCATCTAGTGATATGATCATGTGGTTTTTGTTTTGACATCTGTTGATGTATTTAATTACATTTATGGTTTTACGAATATTGAACCAGCCTTGCATGCCAGGAATGAAGCCTACTTGGTCATGATGGATGATTTTTGAGATGTATTGCTGAATCCGGTTTGCTAGGATCTTGTTGAGAATTTTAGCATCTATGTTCATCAAAGATATTGGCCTGTAGTTCTCTTTCTTTGTTGGATCTTTACCTGGTTTGGGTATCAATGTGATATTGGCTTCGTAAAATGATTTGGGGAGAGTTCCATCTTGT